ATGTTGAAAATTAAGATGACTATGTTATATAATAAGATGAATATGTTAGATAATAAGATAAACATGTTACTTACTAAGATGAACATGTTGCATTATGAGATGAATGTGTTAATTACTAAGATGAACATTGAATATACTAAGATGAACATTTTGCATTATGAGATGAATATGTTGCTTAAACCATTGAACATGTTGAAAATTAAGATGAATATGTTATATAATAAGATGAGTATGTTAGATAATAAGATGAACATGTTGCATTATGAGATGAATATGTTGCATAATCCATTGAACATGTTAATAATTAAGATGAACATGTTAAATTATAAGATGAACATGTTACATTACAAGAAGAACATGTTACATAATACGATGAATATGTTATATAATAAGAGGTAGTGTTCTTGTTGCTTCATTTGCTGGTTCTTTTGTTTTTTTTTTTCTCAACATTCAAACCAGAAAATATATTAAGCTCACAAAGATTGTTTTACATCAACGACACCTAAATAGATCTGGGTCTGCAAAGGCAAGAAAAAAAAAAAAAAAACAGCCATACACCTTTACAATTGACATGGGAAACAAGTTTACAAATTTCCTTGGATAGCCATCTTGGCTAAACAAGCAAAAACTATACAAATATCCTTATAAAAAATAAAACTACAAGAATGAACAGACGAGCACAAAGACTTACATTCAACCACAGTTATAGTTCTCATATCCCATGATTCCAAATTCACACAGCATCAGATGACAGCTTCCCTGTTGTCCATATGGCAGGTCACATTTTTTCCAGTTATTATTGGCTGCATATTTGAGTACCTAAAGAGCACACACAGTATAGGCCTCCACTGAACTTCCAATGAAGTCCCATAGCTGTAAGTCCCACTCCTCAAACCTAACCTACTGTGTCTGCATGAACCCCTCTCATTATCCTCACTCTTCTCAACTGACATCTCACTCATCCCCAGCCCCCTAAAATCTAGCCTTGGACTTCACCATTTCTCACATAAGTAAACATATCCACTCATTCATAGCCCTTTGGAGTAACTATGTTTCCAGCACTTAACAACCCTACACTGAAACAAGATATGATCAATATTTTCCTCACACTCCCAAAAGACCTCACATACTATATCACATTCAATTCGTCTCTTTTTCAGTTGAACCCTAGTCCCCACAAGCTCATGCCAACAATTCTCGACAGAGGCATTACATCAAACACGTATTGTGCTTTTAAGAATACATCAAAACCAACATATCACTAATCAATCGCTACTTAAGAAATCCACATCCTCACATCAAATCATTATTCGTAACAATCAATATCGGTCGGTGGTCAATGGACTGTGAACCGAGCTAGTGGTTTGATCTGCCAGTTTCGGACCACATTTATGTACCTTTTTTAACCGTTGGTCCAATTCCGAATCGAAACCGGAACTAACGATTCAATTATATTTTATTTTTATTATTCTTTTGTTTATTTATATTTTAATGAACCGGGCCGATCCAGAACCATCGATTTATGGAACCGACCCGATATCTCCGATCCTATGACCCAGCCCGTGCATATATTTGAGCCAGTTCAACACCGTCCAACCCTTGGCCCGGAACCGCTTTTGGCCATGTCTAGTAAGAATTCTACATGAAAAAAGACTTTAATACCCTCTACATGAACAATAAGATATTTTAAGCGTAAAAATAATAAAGATCAATTGGACAGAACCCCCTCGCTCATAGTTTATTTTGAATTCAATCTCTCTTTAAATTAAAAAATTATGCACTTTTATTCACAATCACCTACCTAATATCACAAAGAAATTAAAATAATGCATTAAGAAAATATTTTATTGTTAAAATACTTAGTGGGGATCTTCTACAGTCAGGTTTCTGTTGTACCTATTTAACATCAGGTAACCCCCTATTTCACCGTTGGATTGACTAAAAAATGAGAATCAACGATGGATTGAAGGGTACAAGGCCAAAAAGAATTTTGGTAGCCTCGTATTCTGTCTCGTACCCCTCGTACTTGTAAAAACATATTATACCCTTCGTACCCCTTATACCTATTTTATTTATTCTCAGGCCCCCACATACTTTTATAAATTATATAACAATCCTACAAATTTAAAACAATTCATCACAACCTAAAAATATATTTTTAGATTCCAATTCGTCTTCTTCATTGGAAAAAAAAAAAAAAAAAAATTGGACAAAACAAAACATTCTTCCACTTCATCTTCTTCCTCATTGTTCTTCTACATACAAATCCGACCAACTCTTTCATCCTCTCTTCATGATTCAATATCAGAACAGTATTATTACCCAAACATATATTCGAACGATTCACGATCAATATGTAACTTGTCGATAGAATTTTGTATGTAGAGATTGCAATCGCACGCACGATTCATTGAGGTAACTTTATTTCGAGTGTGAAATATGTCATGTCTAACTGTTACAATGAGGTGTACTTCAGACGTTTCATGAAGGCATCCACCGGGTTGATTTGGAACGACGACAACTACTATAGTTATGTTATGTATGACTAGTGATATGGTAGCTGATGTCTGATAAATTAACTTATGACTAAAAAGGTAGTTAATGTAAATTAGCCTATGAGATTGGAAATAGTTGTTATGATAAATTTGTTTGGTAAAATTAGCTGATGAGCCAGTTGAAATAAATAATTCAACGCATTTATCTGTAAAATTTCTCAAAAATAACTTATGATATAAACTCAAACTTTTAGAAAAATTGATCTAACCAAATTTATTTGAATTATACGTAAAATTTTATAAAAATATATCCGCTCAACACGGTTTTTTTTTTTTTTTTTTAATTAGAGTTAATTTTTTTAAATAATAACAATGTTAGTTGTTAATAGGATTTGAGTTTATGTTACAATAATATTTAATTAATATTCTTTAATTATTGATCACATTGAATTAAAATTGAGTTAGAATATGAGTAAGAGTGGGGGGTTTGAATATATTTATAACCAAACATCTCCAAACCATTGACCGTCTTCTCGGTCGACTTGGGTAACCTTTTCTTACGCACAGTTTCACTCTCAGTGGTCTCTCCTCTTTCCGCTCCGGTTTCCAAACTCGTGATCAACAGGTAACACCTTAGATCAAGACCCCGTTCATGTCCAAAGATGATTGATCTTTCTTTTGTTATAAAATGTGTTGGTAGATGACTCTTCGTGCTCATATTGTAGTGTAAGTGAAGATTATTGGTTTTAGTTTGTTAGTGAATGAACCAAATCGAATTGCGGGTTTCATTTTCTGTTGGTTGTGTTCTGATCTGGGAAGGTTCTGACGGCGATTCACCTGAATTTTGGTGATACCTTTTCGCTGTTTGATAGCTCATTTGATGCGCAATTCTCGTGCAAGTACTGCATTATTGTGATAGTTCTGCTCCAGAAATATTTTAATTTTACCAAACAATATGCTCAGCTGTGTAGGATCCATTATCTATCTATGTTGTGGAAGTTGTTGATTTGGTTGTGAATGTAATAAATATGCTTGGCTGCAGGTGTAGGCATTAGAAGCAGGTAGTCCTTTCCATTTTCAATTTATTTATTTATTTATTCCCAGGGCACCATTCCAT